CTGTCGTTACATAAATCCGAGACCGTTATGACCAGACCGCTAAAATAAGCATAATAAGCAAACACCCATCTGCATAACGAAGTTAAGCCCCCGGAGGGCCTAGAACTGAAGCCTGCAGAAACAAAAACGATAAGACCGGAGAGGATCTTACGAACAATACCCAAGCCCAAATATACTGACCGTACACGGGACAGGAAAGCAAGGGACTCTCAGGATACATGCTAGTATCAAAAACGGAGACCTATTTAGGTCAAGACGCGCTGTGCCACTGAGAGGCTGAAGCAACAGCGGAAATGGGAATGAACCGGAATCACCCCATAGAAACTCGAGCATAAGTCAACCTGATAGTTGGTAATAACTACCCCTAACCTACACAAGAGTCATAATGTAGGTGAAGTATAACGACTGCAAACCAAATAATTATAACCCCCCCCCCCCCCCCCCACGTATGGTCCTTTATTCGGTAACAGTTCGAGCCTCTCGGAGGAAGGAGGAAGGCACCCAATTGTCGCCTGGCCCCTCTCCAATGAGCCTCCACCGAGAGTAGGTGGCGACTCAACTCAACATCCCTCAAACGGGCAACCACAAAACTCACAAACGAATCAAACCCAACCACAAAAGAAAAACAAAAACAAAAAAATCAGAGCAAACACTCTAATAGCCTCACAAAATATCAGAGGACGTACCTCACCAATACTAGGACCAAGCCAAATATCCAAATGGCAAGTAATAAACCAAATAATGCGTGAAAAAAAGATTGGCATACTATGCCTCCAAGAGACCCACCTAACCTCAGACCTGTCATATCCCGTGCAGCCACATGCCCACATATACCATTCCGAGTCCTTTCTGGACGTTTCCGCATCACTCCGCCCTCTCCGTCTAACAGTTGTTGGACTTAGCGATTTCTAGACCCCTCGTTCCGACTCCGCTTCTTCCGGTCATTCCGCCGGTCACTCGGACCAAACACCGCCTCACCGGATCTTCTGTATGTTGTCAATGGTTTTGTTTTATTATGCATTGCCTTTTGCTAGTTTCCATACTAACTCTATTATTTATCCTCCGTCTGTCATACTATTCCTGTGTACATCGCCCCCTCCGTTTTCCGGACCCACTCCGTTCTCCGGATCTATTCCCTTTTGAATCTACTTATTGTTTCTTGCACCAGTTTCTGGTTACTATACTCCGTAGCATAGCCCGACTCCGTACTATAAATATTGCTCCGATGTAACTCTGTACTTCAGTTCGAATATCATCTAAATTACCTCCTCTGTTTTCCGCCTCTGATCCCTTCTCCGATTCTCCTTCCTAAGTCTATTCTAAAGACTTCCTCAGATTTCCCTTATTCTCTGTGTCACTCCGACTCCTTCCGACTTATCTCCGAAATCCAGAACTGAACTCAAGCAAAGGCGCAGCACATAAGCTGAAGCCAATGTTCCATTCCGAACTCCAGAATCAGTTTGTCAATCCCTATCTACATTCCTACGCTTACTCCTTAGTCCAGAGTTCCCCGGAAAGCACCAGAGGAACTGGATTTGACAAGACCATGAGGAAATGATCAACAATACCTACAGACAATCAATCCTAGTAATAAACTCACAAGACCCAGAAAGACCGGGGGCGTCAGCAGGAGTAGCTTTCGTAATAAATAGATCACTACTACTGACCAACAAAATAAAAACGTCAACACTAATACCAGGAAGAGCAATGGCAATACAAATAAACTGGAACACAGACAATGAACTAATTATACTAAACATATACACACCAAACAACCCATACCATCATAAAAACTTCTGGGAAGAAATCACCGAACAATGGACAAGAAAAGACCTACCCCTCCCTCAATAATGATAGGAGATTTCAATATAACGGAAAACCAACTAGATAGAGCCCCAACCCACCCTGATAACCCCAAAGCAATAGAAGCCCTAAGAAACACAAGACAATTACTAAGAGTTGAAGATAAATGGAGACAACAAGAACCCACCACAAGAGCATTCACATACAGAAGCGCAAATAACTCACTGTCAAGAATAGACAAAATTTACCTATCCGACGAATGCTTCCCTAACGTCTCTAACTGGAACTCAGTGCCCTCCAAAGTACCAACAGACCACAACATGCTTGAAATAAGATACGCACCAACCAACTCCCCATTTATCAGAAAGGGAAGATGGACATGGCCATTATACCTTACAAACAACGAAGACTTGATAAATAAAATAAGAGACAAAGGCATAAGCACCCAATGACAGATTAAGGAACAATCAAGAGAACGCACAGATGAAATCAACCCTCAAACAACTTGGGAAGCCTTCAAAATTCATATAACTGATATAGCTAAAGAAGCGGCAAAAAAACAATCACCAAAAATAAACAAGAAGATCAATAACCTAAAGAAAGACTTAATGAACATCGAAAACAACCACGACGAACCCATTAACGAAGAAGCGAGATGGAACAGCACAGCTATCCAAAGAGAGATCGAACACCTTGAACAAAAAAAATACAAACATCAACAAGAAAAGGCAATGCTAAACTGGAACACAAAGGGAAAGAAAATAAACAAATACTGGACACGCATAAACAAAGAGAACAAACCAAGAGATATAATACATAAATTAAAAGACCCTATAAGCAATGAAAGTATATCAAGATCCGATGAAATGGCAGAAGCAGCAAGAAATTACCATAACTCACTACAAGAAAAAGACACAGAACCCAACACATTAATCCGAACAACTGCCCAAAATGAAGTTCTAAACAACATCCCCAAAGACCAGAAAATGAAAGGAGGAAGATCAAACCTAGAGAACCCCCTAACAGAATCAGACATTCATGACGCAATATATGCTTCCAAACTGGGAAGTGCCACCGGAATAGACAGAATACCATACGAACTATGGAGAAACATAGACAGCAAATACAAATCAGACTGCAAAAAAGGGAAAAAAGGAACCTTTAACATAACAGAAACAATAACTATAGTAATAAACGACATACAAATACACGGAATGAACCCCAACTCCAAATTCTCCCTAGGATGGATGTGCCTGATATACAAAAAAAAAGAGAAAGACAATATAGCAAACTACCGCCCAATAACACTACTAAACACTGACTATAAAATAATGACAAAAGCACTAGCAATGAGACTAGCCAAAGACACACCAAAAATGATACATGAAAATCAAACAGGATTCATCCCAAACAGATCGATTTTTGATCCAATCAGACTAGCACAAACAATGATAGCATACGCAGAAGCAACAGAATCCAATGGCGCAATAATAGCACTGGACCAAGAAAAAGCATACGACAAAATCACTCACGAATACCTATTCAAAACCCTCGAGAAATTCCAACTACCCAAAATTTTCATTAACACAATAAAGGCACTATATAAAAATGCACAAACATCAGTAATGATTAACGGTATATTAAGCAGCCCGTTCCCGGTAACATGAGGCATACGCCAAGGAGACCCCCTATCATGCCTTCTCTTCGACCTCGCAATAGAACCCTTAGCGTGCTCGATAAGAACATCCCAAAAACTATCGGGATACGGAATACCTGGACTAAAAGAAAAACAACTAATAAACATGTTCGCAGACGACACCACTATCTATCTTAGAGAATCCGACAACTACCAAGACCTAGAATCAATACTAGAAACATGGTGCAAAGCGTCCGGAGCCAAATTTAACCTCGAAAAAACAGAGATAATACCCATTGGCTCACCCAAACATAGAAAGGAAGTAACAGAAACCAGGAAACTTAACCAAAACTCACCACCAATAGAACAAAGTGTCAGAATAGCGAAAGACGGCCACCCGATACAATCACTAGGGGCTTGGATAGGAAATAACGTAGATAACCCCACAACATGGGAACCAACAATAGATAAGATTAACAAAGCCCTTTCCAGATGGAAAAAGGAAACCCAACAATATACGGCAAAAGTCTAATAGTACAAATGACCATCGGAGGTATGACACAATTCCTAATGAAAGCACAAGGCATGCCCGAAAGCATAACAAAAACACTAACTAAAATGATAAGAACCTTCATATGGGGAGAATCAAAATCCCCACCAATAAGACTAGACCACCTACACAAACCAATAAACGAAGGAGGAATAAACCTACTAGACATCCCAACAAGAAACCAAGCTATAAACATAACCTGGCTAAAAGCGTACATGGCACCAATGGAAAAAAGGGCCGCATGGGCCTTTGTCACAGATGTACTAATAAACAAACTAAGACCCCCTGAAATGGAACCCCCAAACAACATTAATACCTTCCTCCAACAATGGTCACCCCCAACACAAGGGTCAAGAACAAACACCTTGCCAAACGGAGTAATAAACCTCCTAAAAACAGCCAAAAAAATTCAACATGCAATTCACACCCCTTAATCTAGCACAAAACCTTAAGCTAAAAATGCCAGCCTGGTTCCACCTAGGTGCCCCACAAAGAACCTATCATAAATCCCGTGACGCCTGCATAAAAGAAACCCACAACTTAAAAACAACGAGTGACATCATCAAGATAACAAACCGACTAAACAACCCCCCTGACAAGCCAAATGACCCCCACCTACCAAGAAAAAACTGCAAATGCTCACAATGCAAAGAAGACTGATCGAATGGCTGCCAAAACCCACATAAGTGCACAATAACCGCCAAAAAAATACTAAACAACATAAACCCCAAACTGAACCCAAAACGTCAGGAAAAATCACTATTTCTATATAGAGATCTATAGTGCTATATAGGTGTTATAGCTATCAGAGCCCTATAGACAAGTCCCTTGCTCTAGAGTGCTATAGAGCTACTATAGATAAGCAATAATTCCTATAGCTATCTATAGCTAGCCTAATTCTACAGTATCTAATTGTATATCATTTATATTACAAGTACTTCTAGTCAATATAAGGGAACAAAAAGATATTAGAACCACCTGCAGAGTAAATAAAATTAAAAGTAAACCATCTGCCACCAGCAGGAATTGAACCCAAGACCTCATGGTGGTAGGTTCCACACTCAGGCCTTTTCCAGACACATCATACCAACTCAGCTATAGTAGCTATATTATTCCTTGTATCATTAGGACATATATACCACATTTCATTGACTTGGAACATTTTCTTCAAAGTCCTGATTCTACTGTTACACTTGTCAGTGGCTACATTAGCAAACCACAAGTTATACATAGAGACAAGATGTTATCAAGAGTTGCTTTGGTACTATTCAAAGCTAATTATAACAGGTAAAATATATTTATCTTGTGATCTGCTATGGCTCTATTTAGCTATTATAGCTATTATAGCTATTATATCAGCTATAGGAAAGTGCTCAAAATCTCAAAGTTGCTGAATTTATTTTATGTGTATTTGAAGAGGTGTTTTTATGTGACCTGAACTAGAATTCTACTAAAATGGGAAAAAGGCACTTGTCTATAGATGTCACTATAGAGCTATAATAGCTATAATAGCTACTATAGCTGAAGCATTTTCTCCTC